GGTGGGCAAACCTGCAAAATCAGCAAGGGGTCAAATACTTATTTCCCCCACTGTATATAGTAAGGGTATTTTAGACCAGTGTTTTTTAACCTTTTTTGAGCCAAGGTACATTTTTTCATAGAAAAAATCATGATGCACACCACCAACCAAAAATGTTAAACAAATCTGTATCCGCCCGCCTATAGTAACACTATAATTATTCTTATTTTATTCTTATCTTACCTTAAGTGTCATGAATAGGAATCAAACAAACACAAAAATGTATTTTTATCTTATTTTATATTTCTTCTTTCAAATTGCACTTAACATGTCCACTTCAATATACAAAATTATACACAAAATCTAGTCATAAGGAATTATTACATGATTACTCCACCAGTCACTAGTACAGCAGACACTCAAAAATGGAATATTATTTGCAGAAAATTCATTCCTTATCAAAAAATTTTTTTAGACCAATTAGGTGAAATAGGATGATTTTCTACAGCCCACTAGTGTACCGAGGCACAGAGGTTGAAAAACGCTGTTTTAGATGCCACTGACCTGATGAAGCTGCAGATCTGGGTCCTCCGGGGCTCCCTCCGGTCAGCGGGACAGTCCTTATATGTGAGGGAACGGGTCAAGGATCCAAGCACACAGCAAACACACAACTAAACAAAGCGGGGGCTGTTCCCTGATCCGGATAATCGGGCCGGGCATGTGACCCCCGGGGGGGGGTGGGGGGGCGGGGGGAGGATATAAGGTGAGGAGCCTCTGGGCGAAGGTCTGGGAGGACACCACCCAGCTGTGCATCATCAGGGTCATGTGCACCAACTGGGAGCCTTTGGGGTTGGAGATGTTCCCCTCCGGATCTAAAAGGGAACAGAAAATGAGGGGAAAGTGGGATTAGAAACAAAGAAAATAAGGAAACAGAAGTTTAGACCGAGTTTAATTCAGTATCAGGGTGTTTTTATGAGCTCCACTCCACCGGAAAGATGGAAAATTTCCTCAAAATGTGCATTTAATGAACAATTTTAATGCAAACTTTTAGAAAATTTCCTCAAAATATGCATTTAAAGTACCATTTTAATGCAAACCTTTAGAAAATTTCATCAAAGTGTTAATTTAAAGTAAAATTTTAATAGAAACTTTTTGAAAA